TAAAAGTAAAAATTGAAAGTTTCACAATAACTTTCTGTATTTGCATATAAAATATATTACAATTTTTTTAAGTGCAAAGAGAGCAAAAAGTATACGACGAAAGATCTCCCTCTAACTCCCAACCCCTACTCCCTCTACCTATAAGCCATCTGACTAGCCTTTCAAAGATGTTATATGCATATCCAGCCAAGTCTCCAATAGTAGCATTCTAACTCTGTTTTGTATTTTGCTAGTTTTAACATTATACCCTAGAGATTGGTCCTTAAAAAATACATAGAGCTATACCTTGGTAATTTTAATGGTGCCACAAAACGTTCTAATATACTGATGTTTTCTTTTTATTTAACTAGGATCTTCTGCTGATGAACATTTAGGTTTAGTTTTTTGTTACTAATAATGCTGCAATAATTTTGTAAACAGATCTGTGCACATGTGTGCTATTACCTGTAGGATAAATTTCTGTAAGTGAAACTGCTGAGTCAAACAGTATATACATTTAACATTTTGACAGCATCGTCAACTTGACTTCTAAAGAGCTTATACCAATTTACACTTTCACCGTCAACATATTACAAACCCCACATCCTTCCCAGCTCAGTAGTGCATCAAAACTTTCGCTCTTTTAATTTGAAAAGTAAAGTAAAAAATGGTACTACATTATGGTTTAAATTTCTTTTTTTTTGAAGCAGCACATTTTTTCATTTAAAAACCATGTGTATTTCTTGTGATCTTGCTGTTCCTTTCCTTTGCCCATTTCTGTTGTCTTTCTAACTGGTGCACATGAGATCTGTAAAAGCAATTCTTAGTCATTTGTGCTGATGATACTAAATACTTTTCCCCCTCTTTGTCTTTTAACCTTATTTACAGAATGTTTGGAAACTTTATTATGTAATCACATTTACTAATCTTTCCTGTTATGGTTTCTGGCCTTAAAAAATCTTGCTTAGGAAAAGTTCTTCACTCTGAAATTATAAAAACTGTTATTCCTTTTTCTTTTAGTACTTGTTTTTGTACACTAAAAATTTTCAGTCTACTTGAAATTTATTACGTTCTAAGTAGTGAGAAAAGAACCCAACTTCATCAAGAAAATTTCTCATTTGTTAAAAGTGTTATTTTACAAATATTCATTTTCTGTAAGAATTTTACACTCTACTCTTACTATATACTTAGGTATCCCAAAAATAGTTATCGCAAAATGATTGTAGTGTAATTAATTGCTCAAATCATGTTAATTTTATTTGCAACTATCACTAACTGCATTTATGGTAATAGTTTGAACTTTGCCGTGCTCAACTACCAACCACAATCAGCTGACACAGGAATTTCTTGTAAACATTTTATCTCACATAATGACTGACAATTGAGTTTAAAAAAACCTAGGTTTTCAGGATCTCTTATATGTGAATCTTATTGCCATATAAGAAATGATATTCTATACTTGTACAGATTGTGATTCCACTGAGTAATAGGTATCTCTTTAATAAGCTAAACAGAAACTGGATAAAAGTACTGCATAATAAACCGAGGGCCACAGACATCTCTGATTCCCTCATTTAGCAGAAAACATAAACTTTATGTCCTTTAAAAGTACAGGCCTTCTCAATAAAAGTTAAAAAAAGTTCTGAGTAGCTGAAGTAATAATTCTAATATAGTACATTTCATATTATAAGGGGGAAGCACAGGGTGCTAGGTGACACAGAGACACACAGCACGAGGACCGAACATCTAGAAAGCCAGGAAAGGTCTACTGGAGGAAATGCCGAAACCGAAACCTAAATGAGGAGAAGAGCCAGACAGGCAGAGCAGGTCACTTGGCCCAGGATTTGAAAGGCAAGTTAGTTGCAGAAGCACAAATTCTCTGAGTGTGAACATCTCTAAACTAGGAGAAAAAAACTGATTTCTCTTTCATACTCCCCCCAACCACACACCCTTTTTTTTCCAAAGTAAATTTTTCTTCCTGGGTGATTTAAAAAAAGAAAAGTTCAAACTTCTGAACTATTATAGCCAAACAACCTTGGCCACAGAGTTCTATTAAAATAACTGTGACACAAAGTTACTTTTAGAAAAGGTATCTATCTTGCATTTGTCCATATATTTCATTTTAAACTCCATATGTTTGCTATTTTAAAAGATTATTTATACAAGTGTAGTGTCAAGTTTATTTTTAGGTAGGATTGTGGGGTTGACTTTCCGGCACGAAAGTAAAATTGGAGATGTTACAGAGAGTAACTGTGTTCCGCTTGCCTGTGGCTAATGTTTGTCCCCTTACAAGGCAGCAGATTAGATAGATAACCAGACATTTCTTCTATACTAGTCCTTCAAACTGATCTCTTTGTCACACATGTGGCTCACTTATGAAGACAGTATTAGAATTAAAATCAGTATTAAAGTTAAGGAAAAGATCAATCGAACCTATAATCCAGACCATAGAACACTGGACCAGAAGCACAAATATCTTGAAATTTCTTCTTTATAAACATAAAGAAAACACAATGTTCAAAAGCAAAGTTTCAAACAAGGAAACAATGTTCAAAAGCAAAGTTCATCTATTAAAGATACGAACTATTTTAACTAGTTTTTTAAAAGGATTGTGTGAAGATAAAAATTATAAATGAATAACCAAGTTTAAGTCCCAATATTAGAGACATCACAAACTGAACAAAATAATTTCTGACCATTTACATACATGGTCCCCAACTTAGGATGATTTGACTTTTTTTACATTATGATGGTGTGAAGGCAATACATACACTTTCAGTAGAAACCATACTTTGAACTTTGAATTTTGATCTTTTCTCAGGCCAGCAATATATGACATTACTTTCTTGTGATACTGAACAGTGGCAGCAAGATGATTTTGCCCAACTGTAGGCTAATATAAGCGTTCTGAGCACATGTAAGGCAGGCTAGGCTAAGCTATGATGCTTGATAGGTTAAGTATTTTAAATGATTTACATTTTTAATTTACAATGAACTTACTGGGATGTAAGCCCCATCATAAGTCAAGGAACATCTGTATAAAACTTTTTCTAGTTGGTACTGTTTTGATTACATACGAATATTTATGTTCCAAGTAAAGCAATACTTCTAAAGAAAAGGTATGTAAATTAATTTTCCTTACTAGTATATACTTTGTAGGCTATAGATTTCAGAATATGTAGCTGGGACAGTACTATAGCAATTTTTTTCTTCAACAATTTCTAGCCAGTTTTAGTAAAGAAAAAATTTGCATAATTTACTTTTCACCAGTCTGATCTGACATGTTCTAATGCTGTTAGAATCACCTGGATCAGTGACTGCCAGTGTGAATACTCTGCAGTATTTTCCACATGCTGTGCCCAATTTGATATTATTGCCACTATATGATGGACACCAGTCTTGGCCAACATGGCGTAGCACTCTGTTTCAGATTTCCTCAAGGCTAGGCAGTTGTTGGCAAGGATGACCAGATTCGCTTTGCCTTGTGAGATCATTTTCAGTCTGCTTGTACCCCAGCACATACTTTTCACTTCTCATAACAAGTTGAAGCCTAGAGTTGATGGACTCCAGTGACTTTTTCATCTTCTTGGCGACCACCATCTTCCTGCCTTAGGTGCAGGACAGCCCCCAACCAAGAGCAGCCACCAAGATGCTGGGGAGCAAGAAAGGCTATGGTGGTCTTTTAAAAGTTATGCATGTAACCCAGTTCTGCTAGTGGTTAGTGCTGTAACTCAAACACATACTCTAAAATTACTTGTCTCTCAAATAAATCAAAGGCTACAGGATGAGAGAAAATACTTAAGTTACAGTTAACATAGTTTATTTAAGACTTATATTGTGTGTGTGTGTGTGTGTGTGTACACACACACACACACACACATACATGTATGTATGTATATGTATATATATACACACAAAGCATACCCCATTTGGCTCTCCTAAGATACAAGTTAAATATATATTCACTGAGTGGTATCATCTCTCAATGTCTGTATATTGGATGTGAGTGTGGACTCAAGGTTTCCTTGGGTTTCTCTCCTTCAGTTATTTCTCTCTATTCCCAGTTTTGCTTATACAGAACTGCCATTATGTTTAATATCCAATATTCACCACTTGCTCACATCACTTCTTTGAAATGTTACTGCCCACAAACCATGTACTTTTTTTTTTTTGAGAATTGACTGGGACCACTAGCACCAATGGTTATTTTTAATGTGATAAGGAAGATGTTAATATCTTATAATGTTAAATTAGTAGCCTTTACAGTGTTGCCTCTTCTCAGTTTGTAGTATTCCCACTTCTAAAACCGTTAAAGTTTCCATCTGCAGTAAGACTATGGGACCCCCTATGTTTTCTTCTATGGAAGACTAAGTTCTATACTAGAAACTGTCACAGGTTGGGTTTCATAGCATTTCAGAAGGCAGGCACATAGAAAGGGTAGAAGTGCAAGCAGATATGGTGAGGAAAGGGGAGGGCCCTGGTGAGAAGTTGAGGAAAGAGATAGGAATTTGTGATTATCATCCCAGGACTCGGGAATGAGCTGCTGACTTAGTTTGTTTAAAGTGCTCAGGGAAAGCCAGATAAAACAGCTCCTGGCCTCACTCCACCCAAGAGAGTCCAAAAAAGACTGCTGGAGACGCATGTGGTAGTTGCCAGAACAATAGGAGAAGAAATATCCAATCGTGACTGGCTCTTATTATGTACCAAATCCTGTGCTAAATACATAAGGAATTAGAGACATAAAAATACTTAGATGCCACCCATGGCATACATGGAAGTGAAAGCTAAAAGATGCAGACATTGCACGAATGAATTCAATGGTTATTTTAAAAGTACAATAGTACACCTGAAACTTACTGGATTTCGTTAACCAATGTCACCAAAAAAATAATAATTAACTAAAAGTAGGATAAAAATTCAGTTGCCAACCTAAAGGATTTTATACATTATGAAGTGTTCTCTATTACTTCCATGGTCTGAAATTTCTCACTCAAGAAAACAGATTCATCCCTAAACATTTATTACATCTTTCTTGGTTGGAAACAAAATTTATTGTTTTTTTCTTTGACAAAACTGTCCCAGCAGTACAAAAACAAATGCTTTTCCAAATTAGAGCACAAGTCTTCCTTTAATGTCAGTGTGTGATAACTAGTAGTCTTTCAAATTTCATAAAAGTTATTATTAAGATGGTGGTTTTGGCCGTTTTGCAGATGGTCCATCTGAGTTAGTTCTGTTATCAATGTTATTTTCATCTTCTGCATCATCTTCATCATCACCTTTTAAAATAAATATTTGTTGTATGACAATATGTTCAATGGTTGAAAGAAATATAGTTAAAATGGTTGAGCTCATTTCACTTTAGGATGAATAAAACCATGCGTATTCCAGATTTTAAAGACGTACCATCAAAAAGATGTATCATCATAGCTTTCAGTAATTTTGGTGTCTAAAACCTTTCCTATCACTTTTTAAAAAGATATAATTCATAGAACCACAAAATTCACTCTTTTAAAGTATGCAGCTTTTGATTTTTAGATTCACAAAGTTCTATAATCATCACCACTATCTAATTCTAGAACACTTTCATCATCCCATACTCATTAGTAGTCACTCCCTAGTCCCCTCAGTCCTTGGCAACCATCTACTTTCTATCTCTATAGATTTTTCCATTCTGGACATTTCATATAAATGGAATCATATAATATATGGCCTTTTGCATCTGGCTTCTTTCCCTTAGCATGATTTCAAGGTTCATCCATGTTGTAGCATGTGTCAGCACTTCATTCCTTATCAATGCTGAACAACATTCCACTGTACGGACAGACCACGTTTTGTTTATCCACTCATCAGTGGATAGGCACCTGTGTTGTTTTCATTTTTTAGCTATTATGAATAATGCCGCTATGAACATTGGTGTATAAATTTTTGTGTGAACCTATGTTTCGAATTCTGTATGGAGAACTACGAGTGGAACTAGGAGTGTAATTGCTGGGTCAGATGGTAACTTTATGTTCAACTTTTTGCGGAATTGCCAAAATCTCTTCCAAAGAAGCTATGCCATTTTACGTTTTTCCAGCAATGGGGAGGGCTCAAATTTCTTCATATCTAGCCAACACTTGTTATTGCTCTTTTTGATTATAGCTATCCTAATGTCATGTAATGGGATCTCGCTGTGGTTTCGATTTGCATTTCCCTGATGGCCAATGATGTTGAACATCTTTTCATGTGCTTATTGGCCCTGCAGATCTTATTTGGGAAACTGTCTATTCAAATCCTTTGTACATTTTGGTAATTGCATTATTTACATTTTTAGTGTCGGATTCTATCACTTTTCTTTAGTACTTAGAATTTAAATTTTGTATGTTTGCTAAATAATTCATACAACATGAAATTCACCATTTTATATCTTATTACTTTTAACAAAGGTAATTCAAACCTAAGCTTTATGGGGATTTCATTAAGCAAATAATACAAAAACATGTCCCCTATTGAAATATATTACTGCCCCACCATTAGAACAGGTGGCAGTTATTTTTCCATTAAGTAACAGATTTAAAAAAAAAAAATGGCTCTAGCTATACTCTTTCTTGTCCTTATGCCAATGAAAACATTTTCAACAGATTAGAGCCAAGAAACAGGATTTCACTTTCAATTATGTGACAACGCCTCATGACCTTATTCATAGAAACAAGCTATTGTCTGAACAAAGTGAAATGTACTGAACTGGCTCCTTCACGTTATCTGAGACCATCAAGATGTTAACAAGATAGAAAGAAAAGTAAAATACAGTTTAAGCTCTTCTGCAGAAGAGTTAAGTCCTGACTCTAATATTTAGTTCTTAGGTTCCTCAGTTCAGGGCAGTCAAAATGTACCTATCTATTTTTGCATTCAAGACAAGATTTGAAAAAATACTAATGCAGTTATACTTCATATTTCTACTTTCAAACTGCATCTACAAAAACGGGATATGGGAAGTATTGCCCAGGTGTTAAGACTTGTTAAACTGCTATCTGTCCCAATCTTCAGAACCTGTTCCTATTCTGCGATAGATGGCAGTCATCCACACGTTTTTAATTTCACACCTGGTAAAACTCCTTTTCAACCTTCGACATCCAGCTCAAAAGTCATGCCCTCTCTGGAGCCCTCCTGGGTTCTCTCGGTTTGCAATAGTTACAGATGTCCCTGGGGTCATACTTCCACTCTTTTTAATAGGAGTGTTTGCCTGTCCAATCCCTCAGCAGTCTGAGTTCCACAAGGAGAGTAACTCACTCGCATTCTTCTCATTCTTTCTCCACAGCTCAGCCCCAGGGCCTGGCACAGAGTAGCAGGCGTTCAGCAAGTTTTTGTGATATAAATGAAAAGAGAGTCGTTAAAATGCCTCGGTAGAAGCAGCCCAGATAAATCGGCCCAGATTCTGCCCAGATGTGGCAGAAGGTACCAACAATTTCCCCCACCTCCCACCCCCAACCCCGAGGCCCTTTCTTTAAGTCTGCTACTCTGCACCGGCAGCCCGAACAGATTTCCCCCGCCTCCCCTGCCCCGCTTGCGCACCGTCTCAGAGCTCACCGTCCAGGTCCTCGTCTGGAGCCGCCGCCACTCTCCCCTGCGGTTCCCGCTGTACCAGAGAGTCAAAGAGCTCGACCACCAGCTCCCTCATCTGGGCCACGCCCGACAGCAGGCCCTGGAAAGGGTCGGCGTCGCCCGGCGCCTCACAGGGCACCCGCAGCTGCTGCAACTGCCCATCTGGCCCGACAAACTCCGCCAACAGCTCCATAGCAACAGCTGAACTTCCAGAAAGCGCTATAGGGAAGTAGCACCCGGAAGCGGAAACCAGCCAGCCGCGGCAGCGGGCGGGAGAAGGGAGAGAAGTGACTTCCGTTCGTTGGAAGTCGCTCCTCCCCCTCCCTTTGCTTCCTTTCTTTGGGATTGGTTCCAGGCACTCAGGACCCGCCTCCTCCGGCCACGCCTCTCGTGGCCGCTTTTCCCGCCTCCGCCGGCGCAGAGCTGCGGTGCTGGTGACAGTTGAGGATGGCGGGCGCTGAGGGCCCTGCTGGGCGGCAGTCGGAGCTGGAGCCCGTGGTGTCGCTGGTCGACGTGCTCGAGGAGGACGAGGAGCTGGAGAATGAGGCGTGCGCCGTACTGGGCGGTAGCGACTCGGAGAAGTGCTCCTACTCGCAGGTGGGCGCGGGGTGGGGCCCTCTCCTCCCCAGGGCTCCCGCGGATCCTTCTCTTCCCGACTAGACTTGTCCTGTTTCCACCTGCGGTGGCCCGCTTGCCTGTGGTGGTCTGAGGCCGCCGTTCGTCGTAGGCTTCCCCATCCCAGGCCCAGCTGCCCTTTTACCCTCGGCCTCTGGGTTACCCTTGGTAGCTTATGTCCGACAGTCCCCTCTCCCCCCTCGGTCTTCGGCTGCTCAGGATTCCCAGGCTTTGGCCTTGGAGCAGCTGCT